ACCTGCAGTGTTCCCTCATTGAGGACTGAACTTGGCAAAAGGGCCTTTTCCTACTCAGCTCCTGTTTCCTGGAATATCTTGCAAAAAGATCTGAAGCTCTCGACCTTGACTTCTCTAAGTGGCTTTAAGAATCTGTTGGACTCCTGGCAAGGACCAATGCAGACATGTTCCTGTTATTAGTTTTCTACATCTGCCTTATAATCTTGCTGTTTTTGCTACTTTTTTTGCCATCTTGATTTAATATGTTAAAAAGAAAAAAAAAGGTATGCCTCTTATGATTATCTTGTTGTCTTTCATGGTTGTCATCATCCTTTGTTGAAATCAGGTCTCTCTTGTAAATGAGTCCTCGAGGCTCATTGAAATTAGCCTGTCTAAATAAAGGTTGAATGAAAAAATGGGGTCATATCGCCTGCCTGGTGGTCTTTGGAGCAGCGGTGTGTCAGGACCTGAATTAGAAGGGGAGGGAGAGCTACGTGGAACTGGTGGGCTAGGATGCTGTCTAACCAGAGGGACAGGCTGTTCAAAAACAACTCCTGGACTGGCTTTGTGGAGTTCTTTCCAGAACCAAATCTCGAGTCAATGATCAGGAATACATTAATAGCTGTCGCTGGGTTTGTTGCAGTTGGAGCAACTCTTGCCTTGTTGATGAGGTGAATTTGTTGGACTCTGAGACTGTGGATGCTTCTCCTTTTGTTTAGATCTAAGAATTACTAATGCCTCTTTTCCATTAGTATCATTAGTACTGGTACAGCACAGATTGACTCGGCTCAGCACTGTATGAGTTGTTACCATTATATCCTGATGCATGCTCAATAATCCAGGTAGACAAATCTAAAAAAGTTAAGTCTGCCAGACTTAACTTTTTTAGATGTTACCATTATACTTTCTAGTGGGCTCCAGCTTGGAGCCCGCAGGAGTGCGCGAGGCTTGGACCCGGACCCCGGCCTCGCATGCTCCTGTGGGTCTGCAGCACGGAGGATCTTCCATGGTGACCGGCAGAGCTCGGAGCTGGGGAGATGACGCCCTGCCCGGCATGAGGGGACTCCCAAGACTCCGGTGAAGAGGACCTGGGGGACCAGCGGAACTCAATCTAGCTCGCTCTGAATTTTGTCGTCACCCACTAAGCACAAAAAACACCTGCCCTTCAGCATTAGACCACGGTGTTGTCATTGTCGTTTTTAAAATCTTAAAAATAGGTTCAGTCGCGTTCGAGTTATTGCAAATGGTGGATCGGGTTGTTGTGAAAGTTTCTCAACCACTCCACCCCCTGACCAATCAGTGACCGACAGTGTTCTGACGTCACGTTTTAGGACTAGTTCAGTACGGCTGGAACACTAGAGACAAAGGGACTGACAAAGGGACCAGTTTCACGAACCGTTGCTAGTGGAAAAGCCTTGGAACCATGCTGAGTTGAGTCTACCACTACCTACCACCACCACTTTATTTATAAAGCACTTAAAACAGCGACAAGGCCAACCAAAGTGCTGTACAGACAAAACAACAGGTAACGCACAAAACAAAATGAGGTAAATCAGAATATAGACATAAAAACGATGCAGATAATGACGACAAACCAGTGTGGAGCATACAGGTTCAAAACACAGATCATCTGGTGTTGAAAGCTACTGAATAGTAGTGAGTTTTTAAATGGGACTTGAAAACCGAGAGGGAGGGGGCCTGTCTGACAAGCAGAGGTAACTCGTTCCAGAGTCTTGGTCCTGCTACAGAGAAGGCCCTGTCACCTCTGTGCTTAAGACGAGATCCTGGAACTGTGAGGAGCAACTGGTCCGCTGACCTCAGGGAACGCGGTGGGACATACGTGTTTTGCATAAAGCCATCCTACCACACTGACCTTTAATGTTCCAACTCACAATATTCTATTTATTGTTTTGCAAGATTATTTTAGTTTTTCCCATTTGCTTTTGTGTGTGTGTGTGTGTGTGTGTGGGGGGGGGGGGGTACATTTTGTGAGTTTTATTTACTTCACGTTTTTATTTTTATTTTTGCTTGTACAGTATCACCATTGTCAGTAAATGCCCTCCATAGTCCTCGTTTCTAGTTAGTATGACCTGTTTGTTAGTAATCCGCACACCTGTCCTCACTCAGTAATCACCCTCTCTGTTGCATTTCTTATTTTTGTTCCCACAGCTTTTCTTTAAATCCTATGTTTACTTTTGTATGGAGCTGATTTTGCGGGTTCTGTTTAGTTTTTTGGGTGTACTCTGGTGTCATAGTGCCTTGGACCCTGGACTTCATGTGTTCCTCATTAGTCTGAATTTATGCCTTTCCATCACACACCATGACAGAAAAACACACAAGAAGCGCTGCACATTTACTTTCTGACACCCCACTCCTCCTACCCATCAGCCTGATCTGTGCCAAACAACAAAATACAAAAGAAATGCAATTTTAAAAAACGTCCTCAATAAAGACTGTGCTAATATTAGAAATGCATCCATTTATTTATTTTTCAAATAATCGACTGATCCTTTGGTGCAGCTTGAATGAAAACCAGTCGTTAGTCAAATACTAGCCACATTTTATTCATTGAAGTGTTTATGTTTGACATAATATTTAAACCAAATCAAACTTTCTGACATTTTCTTCTTCACATTTTTTAGGTTGGGGGCAATAATTCATCTGGTGTGTTTGGCGAGGAGAATCTGCAGCAGTCGGCAGCATGGTGGCTCCTGCATAACCCCCGAGTGTGCAGCCTCATTTCTCAGTAAGTCCGACTCGTAATCTTTCAGAACTAGCGTATCTCACAGGCATCACAGCAGCTGGTCCCTTATCCTCTTGTTGAGTATCATAAGACAGCAGTGGTAGGTTTTACTTTTCCTAACTAGGGAATAAATGGTTTAAAATGCGAAGATTATGTGGAATTGAGTATTTGTACTTGGTTTTTGTCTTTGTACTAGCAAAATATGTCATGAACTTCTTTCGGCTTTTCCATCTTCAGGGATTGCCACAGCGAGTCACACTGCCACAAACTAGTAAAAAAAACTACCAAAGTTATCATTGGATGGGCAACTAAAACCTCAACCCAGTTTAAGATGGCTGCCACAGCTAATTAACCTTAGCAAACATAAAAAATAGCTTTAAATGTAATGCAGGGTATGTGATAGACATCCCTTTAAAACAGGCTAGCTTGGACATTTGTATTGTTAAAGTATCAACAGTGAATCATGAAGATCTTTTCTAACTCAGCACTTGCTAATGAAAAGAAAGGCTATAGATATACTCAGAGGCTGAGGAGTTCTACTTTATGATTACTTAAAATACTGTTTATGGCAATGTACATTTATCATTTACAGATGATTAGTGGGTCTCTTTCAAAATAGTTAAAAAAAATTGGCAATAGATTTATTTCACATGTTCCTGAAAACATTCCCAACATCAAAATATTCATAAGATTTTGGAACGTTATTTGTAATATTGAGTTTTTCTGAGACGGGATAAAAAAGGCCATAAAACATGAAAAGCTCATGATGTAACAGAAGAACAATAAAAGTTTTGATGGCCCTGTTTGAACAGTAACATGTTCAAAAACAGTTTGTGGCTTTAAAACCATAAATACCACCTGAGTTCATTTCCTCAGTTTTTGTCAGATTTTCTGTTTACCCATTTGATACTAGAGTCTTACACAGCAGCTGTAATGTGGTCAGGAATCAATTGTTGAAGTTTTTTTTTTTTCTCAGATTTAGACAGTCTGAAACACTTCACTCTGAGAGGAGGCAAAACCCTGACCTGAGCGTCTGCGGTGATGTAGCCGAGGAAATCCATTCGGTTGGACATAAATATTTCACAGAGAGTACACCAAGGGGGCTTTTTGGCCAATAAATTATTACTCAGTCCAGTGGCTTGAAGCCAGCCTCGGAGTGAATCTCGCTGAGCTTCGCCCTGCTGTAAGCTGCGGATGGGGAATTGTGGTTATACGCGGCGCATGTATACTTGTCAATGATACGAGGGATCCATCAGGGTCGTCCCTTATGTTGCAGTGTGCTCACACACTCTGCAACAGTTAGCTTAAAAAAAAGGTTGTTTTTACTGCCTGCTGCTCTAAAGGCAGTAATAATGGAATTGCTAACGTGTTTGTTAGCAAAATGTCTCACGAACCACTGGACAGATCTTTATAAAACTCAGTATGCAATATGTAACTACAACTGATTAACCTTTAGAGTAAGCATGATTCAAGATGGCTTTCACAGCAAAATGTTATTAACAAACACAAATTTCAAAATGACTAAAACTTAGTCAATTGTACAGAAGTCGGGTTAAAAAAATTACTGTAATGCGACTTATCTGTGCTGCTGATTATCCATGCTGCTGATCTCATGCTGCTGCATTCAATCATACCCATCTACTCACTACAGACTCATGTTTGGGCTGCTGTTTAATATACCGTGTTATTTTACATTATTAGTGTTTAACATATACTGCATCTTAGACCTTTCAGTATTTTGTTTAGTGTATATAGTGTATATCTTAGAGTATATCTTAGATCCTTGTATATTGTTTCTTTTTACACTTTATATTTTTGCTATTTTTGGGTGTAACTGGGACCTGGAGTATACAATTTTGTTCCACCTCATGTACCACATGTGATGCAAATGACAATAAAGAACCTTGAACTTGAACTTAAAATTTGACGTGGTAGTACCTGAAAGTCATCCACAAATGTTTGACATGAAATACAACAGGAAATATAATTTCCATTAAAGCAATTTTAAGCTTTTGGTTAAGAATATACATTTTTCTGAAGATCGGGACTTTATATTTGGGTGTTTTTTCTGTAAGTGGAAGCAGAGCTGAGAGTGCAGAAATCAAATCCTGAGCAGACGTAGAAGAATAAAGATGAATCTATTGAATCTACATCAACAAAACAAGGATGTGAAATTAATTCACCTCGCAAGTTTTATATATATATATATATATATATATATATATATATATAGTCTTTTCTCCAAAGTAGTTTTTCATTTTTTACGATAATCGTGTAACTCAATGAAGCATGAAGTTAATAGTTATTTCAACTGATTAACAGCGACATAATGAGAGTGAAAGACGATCAAAATAAGCATCTAAATGGGAAAAGGACTTCTGCTCGCTGCGCCACATTGTCACTGAAGAAATGCCAGGCAGGTTGGTTTTTTTTTTTTTCTGTGATTAGCAGAGAGGGGGTGGAAGCATAATCTCCAGACTTGCTGACATATTTCTTTTGAAAAGCGGCTGTCTGAAAAAGACAGATACGCTTCTGGAAAACGGATGCAATCTGTGTGTCAGGTCAGATAGCAGCTCGCCGTTTCCCCAGAATAAGTCTCTGCTAAGCCACAAACACACCGGATTAAAGCTGAAGTACGATGAACAGAACATCGAGAAATAAAAAAAAAAGGACAAATAAGTGATTAGTGACAACGAGATAACCTCCAAATTACTTTACACAGCAGGAAGGTGGGGTCGCGAGTTCAATTTTTCAGCTTTTCCAATAAAGCTGCCAATTTATTACAGTTACCATTACATTACTAAATTAAAATAAGCAAAGAATATTCATTTTAATTATTCTGCAAACACTTTTGCAAGCTAGTTGGTGTATTTACTGAAGAACATGTTGAGATATAGTGGAGGGGGAATTCAAAATTAGTGCAAATTTCATGATGATACCTGCAGGCTGGCCTCTCTCGTGCACAGTAAGGTGTTACTGTGAAGCAATTATAAATTAAACCGGCATTCCTGTAATGTTGGCAGGAAATAAACGTGCCTGGAGAAGCATGCAATAAATAAAAAACTGGCAAATGCTGCAAAAATGACACAAATAAGGATTTCATGGAGAAATGATTCATCACATTGTTTTAACTTCTGCATGTCCAGAACCACTTCAAGTTCTTAAAATATTCATGTTTTAGTCAATTGTTGTGTTTAGTAAAGAAGCTTCTAGAAGTTGCCAAATTTGTAATTTGTCCTGGCTTTAATTCTAGTTCTTCATTTTATATATTTGGCAATTTTGCAGGTGGTCAGCTCTTATTGCCAGCATGTAGTCAGTGTGATTTAACCACAAGATGGTGCTCTGTGTCATCGTATAGCTTTAAAAACTCAGACTAAAGGAAACTGAGGCAGAGCTTCAAAAATCACTAATTATCTGTCTTAATTTAGAGCCTGTAATGTGAGATTTGGTACATTTCCACCCACTAATGAACATTTTTTGCACTAAATTAAGGATATGTCTGTGTTACCTTCAAAGGATTCAGTTTTTTTAAAGTTAAGGAAAACTTTTTTTTTTTTAAGTATTGTTTCTCTCAGTAATAAATCATTGCAGGGACAGTTACAGTAAAACAAAATGCATGTGTGCACATACAGATAGACGTCACAACATGGCTGTGGTCAAACTTTCTCTTGAAATAACGGTTCACTCCAGTAGATGGCAGTCTGTAAATACCGAATCTTCCTGTTTATTTCCTATGAAGCCCCATAGT